TTTTTACTGCAGGTTTCGACATGTTTAAATCGGGATTATAGAAAAATGAAATGTTGTTGGTAGATACAGAACAGAAAATGATGAACACTTTTAGCAAAAGATCAATTGGATCGGGGGTCTGTGAATTCACATTATTTGTACAACTCTCCTTACTCTTGGGAAGCGTGTGCTTTACATCGAGGCTTGCGTTGCTTTACATCGAGGCTTTCGTTGCTTTACATCGACGCCATAGTAGTTCAACCAATCGGGGAATGTTTATTTGGGGCATACATCTATTTTTACTGCAGGTTTTGGCATATTTTAATCGAAATTAGAGAAAAATGGAATGATGTTAGGAGATATAAAACAGAAAATGATAAATATTTTTAGCAAAAGATGAATTGGATCGGGGTTCTGTGTATTCACATTATTTGTACAACTCTCCTTACTGATGGCAAAAAATGGAATTTCCGTGACCTAAATGGTTCGCGAAAATTAATATTTTTATATATATATATAGTAATAAGATATCTTATAAACTAAATACGAGATCTTATAAACTAAATAAGATATGTTATAAACTAAATAAGATATATTATTAAGCAGTATATAAAGGATATCTTATATACTTTATAAGATATCTTATTTACTTGATATGATCTCTTGAAATTGAATAAATATAAAAACGGTTTGCCATATATAAAGAATAGGGAATATTTTATTATTCCAATCAAGGGCCCCAGCATGACATGTATACGCACAAAACAATACATTGTGATTTGTAACAATTTTTTTTTTTTTTTTTTTTTTTACATTGAAATGAAATATTAAAAGTTCATATAGATGTTATCATGATAGATCACATATATTTCTTCATTTTATATAAAGTATGTACATTTAATTCCAGGCAGGACAGGAACCAGACAATCATTACAATAATCATCGTCATTACGTTTATTAACTTACATTTCGTCTAACATCTAGACATTTAATGATATAGTTCCCTAAATATTTTAGGACATTCAAATTTTCATTAGTAAATATCCAAACAAATTTTGACTCATTTGAGAGATATTAAGAATCATGACAAATACTGTTTATCTCCTTGAAAAATATCTCCCTATCATCTTTGTATGCTGGACAACTCAGTAGTAATAAAATGTTGTTCATCTTCAACCAAATTTCTTACCAAGCCTTTGATCTCTTTCTATATATAAAGTTTTATACCTGTCCCTTTCTATTTTGAGATCATGGGCACTAATTATGATTTTACATATGGCACTTCTCAGTTGATAATTGTTTAAAGATAGATGCATTTCTTTAGAAAAACAAGTTTTTAGTTTGAAATAAGTTTGTTCATTGATGTATCATTGTCATTTTGCTTAGTTTCTTTTGTTACCTATTCTGACATCGGAATCGGATTTCTTTTAAACTGAGTTTTACTGTGCGTATTGCTATGTGTTTCTTTATTCTACATTAGCTAGAGGTATAGGGGGAGGGTTGAGATCTCACAAAACATGTTTAACCCCGCCGCATTTTTGCGCCTGTCCCAAGTCAGGAGCCTCTGGCCTTTGTTAGTCTAGTATGTTTTTTAATTTTAGTTCATTTATATGTTTTGGAGTTTAGTGTGACGTCTATTTTCACTGAACTAGCACACAATTTTATTTAGGGGCCAGCTGAGGACCACCTCCCGGGGTGCGGGATTTTCTCGCTGCATTGAAGACCCATTGGTGGCCTTCGGCTGTTTTCTGCTCTTTGGTCGGGTTGTTGTCTCTTTGACATATTCCCCATTTCCATTCTCAATTTTATCTAATTTACTACTTCTTGTATCTGTTCTTTTTGTGTTCCAAAATTTTACAAAACTATTACAAAGTTTTTGCTTAACTGACTTGATAAAAAAGTTTAGCTTTACCTCCAAATTTTTAATATTCAGCTTTTTAAAAATATAATGTATGGATGAATACCAGCATTCAATATTATTAGTAAACATGTTTTTGTTACACATATAGGTATCATACAGTAAACCATCTTTCATATTTTTTATTCTAAACCAATATGTCAACATTGATAATACAACCGAAAAATATAGATAGAATCTACCAAGTTCTCCTAGCACAGTTAAGTTTGAAGACATTTTGTTTACACCTAAAATATACTGTATATAACTTGAATTGGATTTATCTAAAAAAATCATTAATATAAATGTGCTGTACTAAATATTCACTTTCTTTCTGGCATGCTGCAGAGCTATTTTTAAACATACCTGTAATTTCACTGCCATACATTAAAATAGGTTTTATTGTACGGTCATATATATGTATAGAGTAGAAATACTTGGATTGGAAGATGATAAAGATCTTTGCAATTTGAATACTGTTACAGCTTTTAGTGATTTTTTGTATAATTCTTCCTTTCCTTGCTTAAAAAGTCCACTAGATATAAATTTTAACCCTAATTACTTATAACTGTTTACACATTCTATAGTATCTTTCTCGAAATAGAATTATTCTTTTAAAAGTTTACCAGGTTTGTTAAATATAATAACTTTGGTTTTTGATAGATTGACCTCTAAACACCATTTAGTACAAGATGTGGATAAACCATCAAGTCGTTGTTGTGAAGACATGCTTGGAACTAGAAAAAATAACAATATCATCTGCATACATGAGGCAATCAATTCTGCGGCCATTAATATCCGCAGCATCTGGACTTTCATTAAATACATCCGGTAAATCATTTATAAAAATCTTGAAAAGGTTGGGACTCCCCTTGCTTTACTCCAATTTGAGAATGAAAATTTGGATTAAGCACATTGTCTATTTGAACACATAATTCACTTTTATTGTACATATCTCTCTGGATTGCATAGAAATTTCCACCTTTATTATGTTTTAATGACTTATATTTTAGACCAGAATGAATGACTTTGTCAAATGCATTTTTGAAATCGACAAAGCAAGCAAAAAGTTTCCCACCTGTCATACTGGTGTACTTATCAATTATAGTTTTTAATACATGTGATCAGATGTCCTACTTTTACTTGAAAAACCAATCTGACATGGATTTATGATATTATTTGTTTCTAAATATTTATCAAGCCTTTTGTTTAGTATTGAAGTGAACAGTTTTCCAATACACATATTAATTGCAATACCTCTGTAGTTTTCAGGTTTAGATGGATCTTCAGCTTTAAAAATTGGACAAATATAGCTGATGGTCATTTTTTTTATATATATGTTTATGCTGTATAGTTTTTTAAACCCTAATTGTTTTGTTACTTACATAGAAGTGTTATCATTTATCAGCAAAAAGTTCAGATTTTAGCAATTAAACCAGAAAAGACAAGATAGTACAGCAATTCATATTGCCTTACAACAGCAGTGATAATGTATCTATTTGATGACAAAAAATAGACGCAATTGAGATTTCATTCCAAATCCATTATTACTTACACCTAGATACCCTGTATGTATTATGCTTTTCAATAACATATGATCAAATCGCTGAAAGAACCCCTCCTTAAGGGAGCTATCATTTTAATTTTTTATGGGGAAAAAGGGGGGGGGGGGCTAGGATGAAATTTAAAAAAAAAAGGCAGGATGAGCAACTTGGCAAAAAAAAGCAGGATGAGACAATTTATGTAAAAAAAGTCAGGATAAACCAATTAAAAAAAGGCATGACCGAATAGAGTGATAAATAAAAAGGCAGGACAAAAATTTTTCATCCTAGCCCCCCATAAAAATCAAATGGTAGCTCCCTAAATTATTGAAAACTATCATTCTGCATTGCTAATGATATCTTGTTGTAAATTAGATACACCCATTCGGGCTAACGCCGTCAATGTGTATCTAATACAAAACATATTCTGTTACTGCATCTGGAAAATCTTAGATAATGACACTTTTCCTGTTAAATCAAAACTAATAGCTCTTTTTAGAACAATGCATGAACGTTTCACAGGCTAATTAACACCTTATTTCATGGTTGTAGTTGTTTTTACAAGTTGTCAGCGACTCATTTAGAAAAAAAAATCTAACAAGAAAAAATGCGCGTAAGTCATGAAAATTTCAGTATAACTTACGATCAATTTTAGTTGAAAGATTTTTTGTGAAAAGAGCCCCATGTTTGTTTTTATGTTTTATTGGTTATTATTTTTAGAGGGGCGAATATAAAACTATTGTATAACAATGAGAACAGAATAGATAGATGTCTACAATTTCGGTCCAGAATTGTCAAAACGAGGATGGCAGTTTTGTGCTGAGTGGGCTGAATTCTGAACATCTATCGAGCCGTTAAAAAATATAAGTATTTGGCTCAGTTTCGTTTTGTTCTCAAACGTTGTCATATTCGCATTTCAAGTACCAAAAAAAAGCAAAGAGGCTCATGCAGCTCTGGTGAAACAGAACAGGATGGTAATGAAGATGTAGTATTAAAATGAAGTTGTATTGGTAAGAAAATAAAAATAATATTCAACAATTAAGAGACAACCTCTAAAAATCCGATTTTAAAAGGACATTAACAAAGATTATTTTTAATTCATCGTCTAAAGACACCATTTTGTGCCAGGTAGAGTAAGATCATGTGACCATCGGGAGTACAGCAATTTAGTTCCAATTCATGTTTTGTAAGAAAGACACGTTAAATTCTATTGTAATTTTTTCTTTTTATTATGAATCCACCAATACAGAAAAAGGAGACACTATTGTTTATGTTTTAAAATTATGATGTAAAAACAAACAACATTTAACAGGACAAAGGACAATTGTAAACTTGTTTGTTTGTTTGTATTCTACAAGCAGTTTTTCATGTTTCACTAATGTCTAACTGACAAAGGAAAATGTAGTGAAAGCTTGATTGCACGAGTTAATGCCTACAAAACGCTACAATTGATACAATTCTCTCACTTGAAAATTATGAAAAATGATATCAAAATTAAATATTATAATATCTAATAAACATTCAAAACCACTTTACATAACCTTTCGTAAATTTAACAGATGAAAACAAAGTTAAAAGTGTGAAAAACATTGGAAAAGAGATTGAACAGACGTATGTTTACAAGTCAGCTGGTTTCCGCTTCAGATTATCTTTCAAAGTACAGCGCAGACTTGTGTTGTTTCATATGTGAATCAGGAAAAATAGATTGAAACTGATAAGAACAACTGATCAAATTTCTGAAATTGTTTTTAATATTAAGTACGCGAACTCTGCAGCATTTCAAGATTGAAGACATGGGAAGTATTAGTTCCATTTTTGTATTTGTGCTTTTGTGGATAAATTCAAGCTCGGTATGTATGCAACTTTAAAAAATTGTTTTTTTCTCTCTCTCTCTCTTAACCTCAGCTCTTAACTAATAGAAAATTAAGCTTATCGTGTCATTATCATAATTGAGCAGTAAATGTTGATTGTTCAAACAACACCAATTCGGAACTTAAAAAATGAACGATTGTCACGATTTTTCAATTTTCATATTATGACAGAATTTCCGCCTCTTTATTTTTTTCTTTCTTTTTTTATATATATATTTTTTTTAAGGGGTGGGGTAGTTAAATTTCAATAATTGGGATTTTTCTTCATTAAATATATGGTTTGTTCTGAAGATATATGTAATAATATATTTATTATTGATATAGTTTCGTGTTGTACTTGTATTATAGACATTTTTCTACAATTTACAACTTTGTCCATTCATAACGATGCAAGCCTGGTACTCGGCCTGGTATTTATGAAGCTGATTCATAATCCATTAATTTAAATTGAGTTTGACATTTTGCAGTATCTGTTCATTCTACTGATTTAGATTTTATGCTTTTCAGGACGGGAAATGTAGTAAAAAAATTAACTTAAGCTTTAAAATGTTAGTCTTTCTAATTTTGAAGGTTTATCATCAACAAAGATAGTTTTATCAACTATGTTGATACCATGATAATTCGTTGGAATGTAGATATCGTTCAAAATATAAAATACGCCTCTCCTTATTTATAATAAGATATGGCACAACCGTCTGGTAAATTTAATAGTACTTCTGTCTTATATAAACAAGCGTTACCCACAGTTGACCTTTCTTTGTGTGCAAGAAGTAACCACTCATATAAACAAGATAGATATGTATATGCACTTAGATTTAATTGAAAATTTATGGAAGGAAATAATGCTGATATATTTGTAACGTTGATGTATCAATTTGTCATCTCGTTGATACTTTATTGACATGTCATATGTTCTATAAATACTCTTTCCACACTAAAAAAAAGGTTAAACTGTAATAAACTACTGTCTTGGATTAGCGCAGTTTTGACAATCGCACTACAATAATATGGGTCAATTAGTTTACCTGATGTTTTTGTTGATAAAACTAAAGTGCGAACATATCCCAAAAATCTATTAAATTTTCCGCCTTGTGATTTGCGAAAGATTTTTAGATTTTGTTATAAAGTATATGAATCTATGTCTTGAAACAAATTTGGTCTGCGTTCAAAACTAACTGTTGTGTTTACATAAGATTTGGACGAAAGCAATAAAGCCAGGCTTATAATGAGATCATACTAGGGCGGTAGAATAAGTAAGTCGGCATTTCTCTGTCAGCCATCATATCTCTTGTTAAACTTATTGCTCTACGTCACTGATTCCTTTGAGACATGTTGCTTATCGATAAAAAAAACAGCACCATATCTATAAGAGATATGATTTATAGCACGTGGCTAACATACAAACTGGCGAATCTCTGCTTTGCTCTTATCTTTTTTTTTTAATTATATTTTTCACAAAGTTTAACAAATTACGTAACCGTTTGATGTTAATCATTTTAAACTGTCAGTTCATGTTGAAGAGTAAATCCTTTATTCATTTTTTTTAAATAACTTTCCTAGTTTGAAGGAAATAAGAAATTACGCTACAGCAGCCAATCTTAATCTTCATTTTAACATTGAAATTGCATACAAGTACTAAAAGATTGAGATAAAGATATTTTTTTCTCCAAGTTAGGTCCCAGGGGGGCATACACATATAACAAATATAATCTTCACAACATACAAAATTGGACATGACATTCATATTAGATTTCTAATATACAATGTACCTAAAAAATTGATATAGAGTGATATATGTTAAATAAATTTTCAAAAAAGTATTTAAGGGTTGCTACTCCAGAGATGTGTCAAATGTTCTCTCCTTGATTTTATTTGCAGTTATTTTTTCCTTTTTTTTTCTTTATTTTTTTATATTTGCTGGAAATATATATATATATATTTGATTGTTTACCTGCAACAGGTACCAAGGAATGATGCTCTAGGATTTGGAGCTTACGAGCTCTAGCAAACCTCCTCGTATCTGATGCAGAGAAACAAACATAAAGGTAACAAAGGTACAATTTTATTGACAGCAAATAACATATACTGCAGTAATAGGTTTTGAGAATAGTGTAGGTTTTCTTACTGCAACAGACACTAGGGATGGAGCTCAAGGAGGTGTGTTATTCACACAGTCCTCGTGTCTGAAGCAGACAGAAAAACCACACCATTAACAGTTTTTTTAAATAAATTTACCAGCAGCAGTGAGAATTAACTTATCTTCTGTGTTCATAAGCCATATCAGTTTATCCCTAAAGTTAGATTTAGAACATAAGGGCAACTTTTACTTATTTCTTGAAATAGATGAATGCAGCCATCATCAAATTTAACATATTGAGATAGAAAATGATATTCATCCTCCACATCTCCAGAGTTACAACGAGTACAAGTTCTGTCATTTTTTAGAGTACCCCGATACCTTCCGGAAAAAAAAGACAGAAAAGTAACCAGTTCCTACTTTAGGATACGTAGAATGTTATCAATTTTTATAAAAGTCCGATCTTTATCTCAGGCCTTATAATTACTAAGAAACTAAGGTTCCAACTCCCTCTGGCAAAATGGACCGCGTAGATGGTTTGGGCTATTCTGTTTAGGTCCCTTTTCGTAGTGTCTTTCAAGTATATAAACATCCTTAGCTGTAAACGTTTTAGTTTAGAGCGTTCCTAATAAAGGTTTGTCAAGAAAAGTGCTTCACACAATATTCATAGAGTTATTCTTATTTTGTACTATTGAAAGATACCGGTAGTTTAGTATCGTCTAACAGGTGAATAATAGAAATAAACACTTTTTTATGCCCCGCTGTCACCGTAAGGGGGAATAAAGTGTTACACTTCTCCGTCCGTACGTCCTTACGTCCCGAAATTGGTTTTCGTTCTCTAACTTTAGTTTGCCTCAACCAAATGTTATACACAATACTTATTATCACAAAAAAAATAATCAGTTCGAATTTTGGTGGCGTCACTTTAACCGTTCTCGAGTTATGCCCCTTTATAACGTTATATGCAAGCGGGGGTATCATCTGTGTCCCAGGGACACATTCTCCATTTATTTTTCAATATTTTCAAGTCTTTTTATGATGATCTTTTGAAACTCAACCATGTATACTTTCATTCTTGCAGTGTATACTACTATTTAAAGATGCAAATTTTTATCAATCGTTATATAAGCATTGATTTTTTTTTCATTGTAGAAAAATTAACGTATTACTAAATGTTATCTTTATTAGCGCTTGAGAAGCGATACAATTTTTGAAGCAAGCTGTCAGACAGGTGTGAAAATTTATGATTTACATTTTGTTTTCTACTGATCACCTGCTGCAAAATTGAAGTCATGGTATCACAGAAACTCGCTGTATGCACGTCCATACCATAACATCTTATCACTGTGTTTTAATATAAAATGCGTGCATCATTTTTGATTTGTGACTATTGCACCTCTTACGTTTTTCCATTCGGCAGTGATGTAATTGCTGAGAATATGAAAGACAGCAAACAACGACAACCGCTGAATTACAAGCTCTTGGCTTGGGACAGGCACACACAGAATATTGCGGGGTTAAACATGTTTGTGAGCGCTCAAACCTTCCCTTACCTTGGACAGTGGTATAACAGCACAACATAAGACCAAACTGTTTTTTCAGAGAAGTCTCAGTCTTGTCTGAGATGTACATCTGTCACGGAAGAACGTCCGTTCAAAGTAGTCTCAGTCTGGTCTTGTCACATGAAGTGTATACACCTGTCTGTAGTATTTTCAGCCTCTTCTTTTCCTGTGAAATGAACATCTATCACGGATGTCTGTGAGTTAAGAGTCTCCTTCGGTCGTCTTCATACCATTTTTTTTTTATATCTTGATATCAGATGTATTGTCTCACAAAAACACCATTAAACATAAAAAGGCATCCGGGTCTTTTTAGTCCCCTACCGACGAAGTCGAAGAGGACTTTAGGTTTGCACTCCGTCCGTCTGTCTGTCCTTCTGTCAGTCCGGCAAATCAGTTTTCCACACTTGAAGCTCATGCTTGAAGATATTGATTTGATATTTGGTATATTGTTTTATCATGACAAGTTACAGATCAAGTTCGAATTATGTACCGGTCTGATAATTTTGTGCAGAGTTATGGTCCTTGGACTTGGAAAATTCACTCAAATATTCAGTTTTCCGCACTTTTTTCGTCATTCTTGAAGATATTGATTTAATAATTGGTACATTGTTTTATCACGACAAGTTACAGATCAAGTTCGAATTTTGTTCCGGTTTGATGATTTTGTGCAGAGTTATGGTCCTTGGACTTAGAAAATTCACTCAAATAATCAGTTTTCCGCACTTTTTTTTGTCATGCTTGAAGATATTGATTTGATAATTGGTATATTGTTTTATCACGACAAGTTACAGATCAAGTTCGAATTTTGTTCCGGTTTGATGATTTTGTGCAGAGTTATGGTCCTTGGACTTAGAAAATTCACTCAAATAATCAGTTTTCCGCACTTTTTTTTGTCATGCTTGAAGATATTGATTTGATAATTGGTATATTGTTTTATCATGACAAGTTACAGACCAAGTTTGAATTTTGTTTCGGTTTGATGATTTTTTGCAGAGTTATGGTCCTTGGACTTAGAAAATTCACTTAAATTATCAGTTTTCCGCACTTTTTTCGTCATGCTTGAAGATATTGACTTGGTATTTGTTATATATAGTTTACACCATGACAAGTTATAGATCAAGTTAGCATTTTGTTCCAGTACAATTAATTTTTAACCGGTAGGGGACTATGTATTGCCATGCAATACTCTCAGAATGCTTGTTATATTTGTTTCATCTAAACATATACATTTGTCAGGGGATGCGATATGCTTACCAATGAGACAAATATCCACCAAAGTTCAACTGAATGGATATAAGCAGTTATAGGCAACCGTACGGGCTTCAACAACGAGAAAATCCCATACCGTATAGTCGTCTATAAGAGGCCCCGACATGAAAAATATGAAACAATTCAATTGAGATAACTAAGGGCCTAAAATATAACAAAACAATTTACGAAAAACAAATATGACAGACATAAACAAACGACGACAAACTATATACTACTGACTTGGGAAATTTAGACTGTGTCGAATGAGATAATTTTCATTACTTTACGTTCTTGTCGTGGCTCATTAAGCTTTAGAAAATTAAATGTAGACAGAATTAATGAGTCTGATATGTAACATATAGCATTGTCTAAAAATGATTTTCTCGGATCGTACATTCTTAAAGATCAAATACGCAGATACATTTATGACTGTGTAGATACGGTGCTAAATGTATATGGTTATATATATATATGGAATCTTGCTTACTAAAATTGAGAATGGAAATGAGGAATGTGTCAAAGAGACAACAACCCGACCATAGAGCAGACTACTAGTCTATATACATGTAGGTGTGATATAGTTATTGACAGAATATGGTGTTATTGCTTCACGTATTTTTAAATATTTCATTGAGGTGCATGAATACTATTAAAGAGGGTCTAGATGGGGTTTACAGAATAGAGAATAATGGACTAATACTACATAATAATAGACAAAAAATAAAGACTATATTATACAGAAAATTAACACAAAACAATAAAAAATAGACAAACTTTAAAATGGGGTGATAAAATATATAGAATAGAGAACAATGGGCAAAAGTATAAAGAGTAGAAAAATATGGCTTAAAAAAATGAAGAATATAGAATTGAGGGACCCCCATCCAGACCCTAAAAAAAAGAACAAAAATATGGATTAACTTCTGTCGTTCGGCTAAAATTGGCTAAAAATATGGCAATAAAACGTCCGATATTTTCGCTAAATTGTCCTACAACGGTTCGCTAAAATGTCACCCGCCGACTATAACTCCAGTCTAATCATCATTTTTTTAAATAAAGAAAAACACTTCTTTATTTGAAATTAACCATTTTTAATTGACATACATGAAACTAACCATTATTAAGATTACCAAACACTTGTAAATGAAAGCTCTTCCGTGTAATTTACATCTTGTTGTTATAGAGAAGGTAACATGAAAGCTTTCAATATACATATAGAAAGAGGGTGGGTTTACGTCTTTGTGTAATGTAACCTTATGTTAGGATATATCACGATATCCAATTACATTAATAAATGAAATCATGCTACAAAAACTTGTAACTTATATAGTATCATCTTATTTTATTTCAGGGACAAAATTACACCATAACTTCAGTACTGGTAAGTATTTTCCATTGACAATTTTTATATAGTTCCAGACTTGCTAAACTCATTACCACATCAAATTCTCATTACGACAAAGCATACACACTACATCTGTTTATATTATCTGTTCTAATTGACAAAAGACAATTCCAAGACTATGTTACAATTGGAAAGAGAACCTGATAGATCCATTGATTACGTGAGAATTAAATCTAACCAAAAATACTTCAACATTCATCTTATTGTATAGCTAAATATCAATTCCTTCTAAAATGGTTTCATGAATTATCAGTCTGCATTTAAAAACTGAAGCAACTTGTGATATGTAAACTGTATGCATTGCTTCACATAGCAAATGTGTTAGATGATCTCAGTTTTAACACTATAACAATATGACAAGCATGCATGTGCTACAATTTCCCTGATTAAAATAAACTGATAAAGGAAAGACCATTTGATAGACGACGTGGGGAAGTGGTACATGAGGGATGCACCTGTCCTTACAACAACAACAACAAAAAATAACGAAAACAAATCATCTGTTCAAGAGGTTGCTTGACAATAATTTGTTTGTTTGTTTAACTCTAGATGGCTTTTGGGTTTTTTCCTGATGTGATGTTGTCTCATAAGTTACGTCTCTTTTGGGAACAAATTCATGTGGCATTGTACTTGAAATGTACATCTTGTAATTAATGACTGAAAATCAACAATGTTGTCAGAAAAAAACCCTCATCTGCATCTCCTTTACACATGACTAATGATTGTGTCTAAAGTTACATCAAATTGAGCACAATATATCAGCTTCCTCATTAAAACTACCATTAGTATGAATACAAACTGACGAAAATAATCCGCGAATTAAATTTTGTCCCCGTCTCACGTGTACAATTCTTGCCAGATTTTTATGAAACTGATATCATAGATTTATATCAACAATGTCTTGGACGAGCTCGAAAATCAATGCCGATCAATTATTTTTAGAAGAGTTATGCCCTTGGAAACATTTAATTTTATAGAAAATTGCATCGTTAGCGCTCTCGTGTATTCAATTCTTGCCAGATTTTTATGAAACTTATATCATAGGCTTATATCAGCAATGTCTTGGACGAGTTCGAAAATCAGTGCCAAGCAATTATTTTTAAGAGAGTTATGCCCCTTGGAAATATAAATTATATGGAGAATTGCATTGTTAGCGCTATCATATGTACAATTCTTTCCATAATTTTATGAAATTTAGATCATAGGCTTATATTAGCAATATTTTGGACGAATACTCTGTTCTATTATCGTCATTGATTATCATAAAATAAGTATGTCACTTTTTACCTCTGTGCGTTATCATAAAGTTGTTACATAGAAATACAGAAAAAAAACTTCAGATATCTTTGCACTTACATAACCACTTATCATACCGACAAATTGTTAAACTGTTTCAGTCGAACGAAAATATTTTATAAGATCTAGTTAAGCTACCAAGTGTTATTCTAATTGCTTTAAAAGTAGTCAGATCGTAGATAGCTGGGTTTTTTTCTCTCTCTCTTTTTACACCTTAAACATATATATGAATAGTATTTTAATCAAACTAGAGTATTGTTCGTTTTAGGAGGATCCTTATTTGATAGATAATGGTGATGGAACATTTTCTGGTTTCATGATAGATCTTTTAGATGCTCTATCAAAAGGAGGTGGATTTTCCTATGAAATAGGTTTAAATCCTGATGACAAGTATGGGTCACAAGATGGCTCAGGTAACTGGGATGGCATGATAGGTGAAGTACTTCAAGATGTAAGTAATAATCATTTAAAATCTTATATGAGGGTCTAGAAGGATTTTTCTGAAAAGAGAAAAATGGGTAATAAGTGCAGAATAAATGTTTAAAAAAATAAAAAATAGAGAAAAAAATAAGAATAGAGAATAATAGGGTGCTGATATATAAAGAATAGAGAAAAATGACCAAGAAATATAAAGAATCGAGAAAAATGACATAGAAATATAAAGAATAGAGAAAAGGGGCCTTAAAATTAAAGAATACAAAAATGAAAGACCCCTCCCCATCCAGACCCTCTAATATCCTTTTTTCAAAGAGATTAAATATCCTACCTCTTTATAAAGTTTACATTGAATTTGATCATTAGCCTAAGAAAATAGAACCACATTGCTCTCATAATAGATATAGGAAGATGTGGCATGAGTGCCAATGAGACAACTCTCCATCCAAGTAACAATTTATAAAAGTAAACCATTATAGGTCAAGGCAAGTTCTTTATTAAAATATATATGCCTGTACTTCCCCAAGTTTATTTATGGCAGGTAGTAACTCCATTGTTTTATTGTATTTCTATGTTAACTGCTTCACTATAAATTGATATGTTTCAAATTCAAAGTTTTACCTCAATTTACTACATCGCTTGGTATCACTCCCTCAGGTAAAGTTGTTAAACTCTCCAATGAAAGTTAAGTTTATCAGCCGTCTTTGACTATGTACCAATGTGTTTTTTTCTTCAATTTTTTGTTTTATTGGTGAACCTAGTGAGTTCTTACTGTTGATATTTAACCCGAAACAAAGGGAACACTTATATAAAAAATAAGAAGATGTGGTATGAAGTCGCCATTGAGACAACTTCCCACCAGAGACCAAATGACGTAGGTTAGCAACTATAGATCACCGTAGGCCTTCAACAATGAGCAAAATCCATACCGCATAGCAAGCTATAGATGGCCCCGACATGACAAATTTAAAAAAATTCAATAGAGAAAACTAACGGCTTAATTTATGTCCAAAACAATAAACGAAATACAAATATGATACAGCAAAAAACGACAACCAATGAATTACAAGCTCCTGACTTGGGACAGTCTCATGCAGAATGAGTCGGGGTTAAATATTTTTTCGGGCGCGCCAACCTTCCCGTAGTCTTATGCTTGACAACAGCTCTGCTTGGAATGACAACAGCATAACTAGATTACTTGTAGTGATGTTTTGTATTTTGTTGATATTTAACAATAATACTGAAAAATGTCTAATCAAATATTTTACTAGTAACAAATGAATAAAAAAAAAATGAAAATAACACTTTATAAATTGGGTGCATTCGAAGCGCTTTTCTTGATTTACCTTTATCAGAAACTGTCAACCAGAAATACTAAAATATGATAAAAAAAAAGAAAGAAAATAACTCTTTATAAATTTGGTGCATTCTTGATTTACTATCAAACCTCAAAAATTTGATAGCCAAGGATGTATAAGTACTTGAAAACGTTAGGAGCTACATGAACAAAAGGCACACAAAAAGAAGCCAAATTCAAATTTCAAAAAAAGTTAGAAGGCTAAAACAAACATGAAGTTGAAGAACATTGGAAACACCCCAAAATCCAATTGCAAAAAGTTGTGCCAAATAAGACTAAGATTGTCTATACCTGCGGGATAGAAAAACCTAAGTAAGCCGGATAATTCAAATTTCTATAAACAGAAAATGACCATATCAATGATATTTCATGTCAGCGAAAGTGCTGACTACTAGGCTGGTGAAAGCCCTTGGATATGAAACGTCTACCAGCAGTGGCATTGACCCAGTGGTGTGAAAACTCATCAAAGATAACAGGTTTATAATTTGTAATGCCAGACGCTCGTTTCCTCTACATAAGACTCATCAGTGGCGCTGGAAGGCCAAAATCAAACATGAAGAATAAGCACTGCAAGCTCAGGCTGTAGAAAAGCACCCAACTACGTATTTGGAAATTTTTATACCGTGAGATTTAAAAAATGTAAAAAGATAGAAATAATTAATTATTTTTTAAAGTGTTTATTATTGGATCAATCTTCAGGTAGGATTCATCAATATTTTCATTTTTAAATTATCTTATAGCCGGATATTCAAATTGCTGCAGCGCCAATATTAATAACAGACGAAAGAAAATCAGCAGTTCCGTTCACGAGACCGTTTCTTAATGTTGGTCACCGTATAGTAATCAAGAAACCAGTGGTGAAATTTCAAACCTTGAGTGTTTTATTCGAGCCCTTTAGTTTACAGCTATGGATTATGGTTATCGTCATATGTTTCATTGTTTCTGCACTCTTGTTTATCGTTAACAAGTTTAGTCCTTCAGAGTGGAGTAGGATCCGCCCGGAAGACGACCCGACAAACGCCAAAGATAGTTTTTCAGCTAACAACGCATTTTTCTTTGTCCACAGCACACTAACATGGCAAGGTAAATTATAATTAAGAAGAAAAATAATGAACAAATAGCAGAATGAAATGAATTAGGAGGCTACTGACAACTTTAAAGAATCATGATAACATTGGAATAAAATAATACAAGTATGGTTATCAGGAACTAGTAAGGCACCGATCATTTATCTTGTGTAGGGGGACATTTCAAATATTACACCATTCTTTTTTTATTCCAAAATTCTTTGAGAAAATAGTTTGTTTCAGATGGGAAGTGAAAAAAGGTCTGTTTTCATTAAAAAATTGAAAATAACAAAAATAATAAATACTTTGAGTTTTAAAAATCTTGTTCCCGTATATTATTAAAAAAGCTATTGTTAAGTCGAAAAAAGTTTGTCCAGAGAAAAAAAATCCATCCCCCTCCAACGGAATATGAATGGTTGTTGCCTTGATATTTTAAACACGATATTTGTGGAAAAGAATGGATACGAGTGTACCTCTTCTATCACTCCATCCATTTTAAACATCTTATATACGCAACACTTAGTTTACGTTGTTTTATATAACTTTTGAAAAATATCTACAGAGAAACACACAGATAAAATGGCATCTATTGGCCTACGAAGTTTAAGACTTTGAACAGATGTTTAGATAAATGAAACGGTCCAAATCCTAAACGCTTGTAAACGTTGAACTTAAGTTACAAAATTTCCTCTTTTCTATTGGCTTCTGTATCCGATATTTTACTCGCATCTGTATTCTTATGTTTGTGTTTCTATTTCAGGATACAAAGAAGTACCACGGTCTCCGGCAGGTAGAATTTTAGTAACAATGTGGTTTAGCTTTATATTTTTCATGGTCATTGCCTACATCGCCAATCTCACGGCATTCTTTTTAGCCAGAGAAACAGAAAAGCCAGTCGTTCCTTTCAAAACCTGGCAGGAAATGACAACACAGTCAAATGTTTTATATGGCGTCAAACCATATGGTGTTATGCATAGAAGTATGAAAGTTTCGAAAGATCCCATTCTGCAACATGCTATTCAAACTATTGAAACATATTCTACGACATTTAGTTCTTCTGAGGATGGAATAAAGAGAGTCAGGGAATCAGATGGATCATTCGCAGCCATTGTTCCTGTAGATGAGGGTTCAAAATATATCAACAATGAACCATGTGACCTTATGTTTGTTGGAGCAAATATTGTGAATACACCATATGGAATGGCTTGTAAATCAGTTGACATATGTAACAGACTTACTGTCGCGTTGATAGAAGAAGCAGAACTTGGAGGTTTATATTTGCTGGAGCAGAAATGGCTTTCTCCAAAGTCAAATTACAAGTGTCCAGCTGCCAGTTTAGAGAACTATATTAGTAAACAAGAAACAGCACGTCTTTCAGCACGACCATTGACTATTGCTGATGCATCTCTGGCTTTTGTTGTTCTTCTCATCGGTATAGTCTTCTGTATCATCTTTCTCGTCATCGAAGTTATTATACACAGACGACGTAAAATGGTAAGTATTAGTATTGATTTGGAATTAGAACAACAGTAAAGCTACATGTTAAATATTGAATATTCAACGAATAACTCTGCAGATCAGAGGAAGGGTACGTAAAGTAATGATTTCCTTTGTATCTAGTTAAATTATGAGTTCAACATTCTATAATGAAAAGATCGCATCCATGCATTCTCTGTAAAATTCATCATTTATAAATAAAAACAAAACAATTTTCGTCTCAAGATAATGTATACATGTCTGCCTTCATACGTCTTTTTCACACGTCACATTGGAGGAAGATATTTCAGAAAATAAAAGAAATGGAAATTAAACTATTTTTTGACATTTTAGAAATGAGTTTGTTAAAGTAGTGACATGTGTTCATTGATCACAGAAAGCTCTGCGAGAAGTCAATTTAACTTAAAATTTAACTTAAACACTTGCGGTTGTCACATGCTTCGCTATCATTGCGATAAACAGCATTAAAGCAAAGTTATGGTTTCTTTTGAATTTTTCTTAATAATTGTTGTTAACTAGTATATCAGTAGGTTCAGAGCCAGGTTGTTATATTTGATTCAAGATTCAAGATTTATTGATAACGCTCAGACACATAAATGTGTAACATGAGGTCAAAGTATAATACATAAACAATTGAATGACGAATTGAGCATGCAGTACTATTTAAACACATAGAATTACATTTGTAAATATTTTAGAATAAACAAGCAATTTTCTTAATAAAAAATGATAGTCGTTTGTAGACTTCCATATTACATATGGACAATAATCCTTCCATTTTAATGTATTGCGGATTAATAGTATAATATCTAGGTAAGTATTGGTTTCTATAATTAACAATAGAATCATGTTGACATACAAATAAAATATGAAATTCATCACCAACAAATTTATGACATAAAGTATATATTCTCTCTGGTCTAGGTATATTTTGCCAACGGCCTGTCTCGATTGGAATACGTAAGTTCGATGTCCTTAATTTAGTTACCCACCCTCTGTTCTGTTCAGATAGTCTGTTCAGATATTTTTCTAATCCAAAGTCCTTTTTAAATGTCCCATAAAATTGTCCCCGAGATGAATTTTCTATATCGCCAAACCATGAGGTAATAAACTGATAACTCAATATTCGGTCGAGATAATTTTTATCACAAAAGCCAATTTGATTCATGAAAATGTATCCTAGACCAGTGTTGTTAAATATTGATTCTACAGAATCAATCCATTTGAAAGCATAATAACCATGATTCTTCAATGATAACATCAGCCTGTACAAAGCACTACTAAGTTTACTGCTATTGTTTACAACTTTACACCAATACGAAATCATTCTACATTTAACTCGAATTTGCAGAGGAAATCTTCCCAATTCTCCATACACCATAAAATTGGGTGTAGTATTTCGAACTTTTAAAATTCGTTTGCAATATTTTAAATGCATCTGTTCAATAATTTTCAAATTCTCAAAACCCCAAACTTCAGAACCATATAAAAGAATTGGTTCTATCATGGAATCAAATAATTTCAGTTGCAAATCTATAGGAATGTTTTCGTTTCTAACAATTCTATGTATAAAATGCATCGATTTTTGTGCTTGATCAATAAGTTTCTTTTTGGTATCTAAAAAAGTACCGTTATATTTAAAGATAACACCTAAATAAGAAAATTTTTCAACAATCTCAAGTTCTTTGTCTTGTAATAAAAATTTAAATTTCTTTTTACTTTTCCTCTTTCTAAAAATCATAACCTTTGTTTTATTTAAATTTACTTCTAATTTCCACTTTTCACAATATAACTGAAAAATGTTTAGTGATCGCTGCATACCTTCTTCTGTTTCAGATAAAATTACAGTATCATCTGCATATAATATAACAAATAATTAAAAAAATATGTGCAATTCACTTTGAAACTTCTCTTTTACAGTTTCTAGTGGAATCCCATCTAGACTCTTAAAGTAGTCTTCTAAGTCATTAAGAAAAATTGAAAACAAAAAAGGCGATAAATTCTCCCCCTGTCTTACACCTGCTAAACAGGGGAAAAAATCTGACTGACATCCATTATATTTTACACATGATTTGATTTCTTGGTACATATTAAAAATAACTTTGAAGCACTTCCCTTTGATATTACTCAATTGAAGTTTTCCCCATAAACCAGATCTTGATACCGTATCAAATGCTTTCCGAAAGTCTACAAAAGTACAAAAAAGTTTTTTGCCAAATGAGAAATACAGCTCTATGAGTGCATGAAGTACAAAAATATTGTCTACAGTTGAATACCCCTTTCATGTATAAGTGAAATTTCATTTGCAAAAAAATCCAATCGAGTATTGATTATGGAAGTAAATAATTTCCCTATACAACTAATTAATGTTATAGCTCTATAATTATCTGGATCCTTTGGACAACCTTTATTTTTAAAAACTGGTATATTTATTCCTGCTGTCCAAGTTTCAGGTATAATACCTGTATCCAATATCACATTAAATAGTTTAGTGTAAATACATATCAAAAATGGTGGAGAGTTTTTCAAAAACTCATTCAGTATCCTGTCAGTACCAGAGGCTTTACCATGTTTCAAGTTCTTAATGGCATCCACAACCTCTTGTTCTGTAATGACGCCATTTAAAATTTCATTATAAATTGGGTCACTACACAACGCATTGATGTCAATGCCATCAATATCTTCTTCGTCACTTGCATTCATGTTTTTAAAATATTCATGAAATGCTTCATTACTGATAGAGGGATTGTCTTTTTTGTAGCCAGAATATTTTTTAAGTGTCTTCCAAAATCCCTTAGGGTCATTTTTTGATAGTGCTCTCAGTTCATCCGAACTTTTTTCTTTATACTGCTGATAGTTAATGTTAAGTGTCTTGCGGTATTCCTTGGCCTTACTATTCATTGCCAGTTTATTAACACCTGATTTCACTCTGCTATATAAGTTTCTAGCCTTGTGAAACTCATTACGTTTGTCTTGACAATCTTTATCAGAACATGGGTTTTTTTTGCGGTCGGGATAAACCGGTCTTTTTTTAGTCTTGCCTAGTACTCCTTCTGCCGTATCTAACAGTACATTGCCAAGGTCATCAACTAGACCGTTTACCTTTTCAAGAGTAACATTATTTGTGTCAATACTACTCAAAACGTGATCAATCTGTTGTAAAATACCTGAGGCACTGGATAACGCTTGAAAATATTCGTCTGCTTTTCTACAGTCCCATTTGATGTGAGTTTCTGTGTTACCTGTATTTTTTTCTGTGTTCGCCTTATTAGTGTAGTTACTATCAGTATTGAATGACAATGTAAAAAATATACTGTTATGGACATCTGAAAACATGGGATTAAACTCATCTATTCTAAATTCAGAGATATAATCAAACATGTGAGGAGATACAATTGACAAAGTGAAGTTGCAGGGATTGGAAGGTTAACAGTGTTATTCTTCAAATGAAACTAGTCTTGATTTCACATGGAATAATCAAATAACACAATGCAATTATTTTAGCCGTTTTTTTGTGTTTCAAGTTTCAGTGTTGATAACACATATTTTTCTTATATCCAAAACTGTTAGTATAAGAATTGAATGCTTAATGCAAAATATGATGGTCAATTGGTTTCATTTTGCGTATATTCAAAAAGAAAAAAAAACAGCATTCAACTATAAACATTACAAACATATTATTTATGTTTAGAAAGAATACATGATCTGATCTATCGTTTCAGTTTCCTGTATGTAGTTAACTGACTGCAACTGATTTGACAAATATTTAACATGTTACTAGTATAGCAATATGAGATTGCAATTATTATAGTTAAAAAAAAAGCATCAGAATTTATATTCATTTAAAAAAAAAATGATGTTTCATGGTCAAACAAGATAATTGAACATTGTGAATAATTGTTAAAATATGATTTCACTTGAATGAATCCAATAAAAAGTGGTATTTCTCACCCAGCCGTGTAATAAATCAAATTAATTTCGGAAATGCTACTTCAAATTTATCATTTAATCTCTATAAACTTATTTAATAAAGATATAGTTACACTGCTATTATTAAATCATTGCGCATGATATTTGATTTAGAATTTAGAATTTTCTAATTTAAAATAAGTATAACTGAATCTAGGAAAATAGCTTCAGATCACGTCTGTTGATGTTGTTTAATTATGTCTGTTTATGTTTTTTATGTCTGTTGATGTTGTTTATGTCTGTTTATGTTTTTTATGTCTGTTGATGTTGTTTATGTCTGTTTATGATGTTGCTGTAAGAATTCTTATACGGAGTAGAACTGCTGATATTAGAGTATAGGGCTGCATGATTTAATAACAACAGGTTATGTATTTATAACTGTCTTTCAGTAAGTGCATTCTTTGATACGGTATACGGTATAATTTAGTACTTTTTCCGTGTCGCTTTACCGGCATCAGTACTTCCTTTTTGAACAGATTTATGTACATTGACTATAGTTCTGTTTACTTTTTGTTTATTAAAAAATGACCGAGATTGAAAAAAATGCTTTATAAGATTAAATTCACTCCGCCACAATTTGCTTTGCCTGTCACAAGACAGGAATCTTGTCAGTGATTGTCTTTAGTTATATAGGACGATTTAGATATTGACATACTCTATAGACAAATCTGTATATGATGACCTCTAGAAGCCGTTTGGTTTTTATGCCGTTTAGTTGTTGTGCCTTTGATGTACACACCACGTTTCTTGTTATTATTATCACTATAGCATTCGATTTACTTTCTTCTTTTAGAAATCAACAAGAATCAGTAAACAAGGTCAAACAAACAAGAGTGCTGATGTTGAACAGGCAACAGACGAACAAGAAAAGGCGCCAATTGCTACTAACGAGGCTACAAACAATATAGACTGAACTAAAATATACCTAATTATAAAACGTTTGTCAATATTGAGAATATTTCACGGGCACAAAGTTCGGCGCTACTAAAATATTTTTCCACAACTTCAAAATGTAAAGTCAAATATGATTACTAAAATGACGTGACGATTATTTATTTTATTTTAAAATTGAAAAGCGGATTACATTTAAAAAAGAATAACGGGGTGTACATTGAATTATAAAAAAAATACTCGATTTATATAATTATTTGATTTGTTGGCTACAAAGCCTAAAATAAAGTAGAATGTTTTATAAAACAGATTTTGCTTTTTATGTTGGTCCTTACCGTTTTTTAAGATCTTGCCGGGTTCGCTGACTTGTGGTCACGATTGCCGCGTGAATTGGTGAGGTTGATTCCAGTAAAACTTCTTGTGCGCATAGGAATCATTGTTTTATTGGAGCTTGATAGTATATGTTATAGTAAGTCAATTTCTTAGCATTCAGTGCCTAATGTCTCTGATTCTCCGGACGTTCAAGTCCATCTCCATCTCAATTATCCGCAGTTGAACTAAACCGGTTTGCCATACTTGTTAGTCTGGCGCTGTAGTAACAGTATTAAACAAGAACCCTTTCTGGAACATTATTAGTTTGATAACAGTATTATAGACGATAAATATGACATATGGAAGGAGAATATGTTACTCTTATCCGTTTGACCGTCCATATATCTCAATTTGTTTATTTTTAAGATAACTATATATGGACACCAAAATCTTACTACCTTTTAATGACTTTGATTTACCTTGGTGATTTATTCCATAAAATAGAGCCATATTCTAAATCACAAAAAAAAACTGTTTTCTTTTACTGCCACATGATCATTTTATATAAGCCTTACGAACTGATAATTTGATTAAGAACTTTCCTATACCAAAGAGAGATAGGGACATACAAGTATGGCGAGTCATATAACCAAAAGCGGTAATCGAGAAAATATTCAAAACCAAGTAAGATTTACTTTGCATAACGTTCTTACGGCTTTAGTTTTAATAATATATCACAAAATAATCAGGTGATAATTTAAAACAAAAATATAAGTCATGAATTTCGATTAATACCGGAAAATTTACAACCTGGCTGCCAATGAAAAAAAACATTGCAAAAACAAAACAATGGAAGAAAACAAAACAAAAAATTACCCAATAGATATAATAAAAACGAGCGAAAAAAATTAAGAAGAAAGAAAGGTTTTTTCCCAACTTGAACAATCTTTTGAACACTTTCTGTATATTGTTCAAGTTAAACGTACTTCATGTTGGCCTTAACATCCGCAAAAGCTGATCAAACATAAAGACAATAAATCCTGATAAGTGGATTTTTCAACATTCAGTTCAACATAGTTTTCACAGTAAGGAACAAAATCACATCTGCAAAACTGAATGATATGATGATATTAACTATGGATAGTTTAGATTAATTGGTATTAAACATGATAAAAGGGAAATCTTTCCAAACAAAATGTCTCCTGATATTGATTATTACCGCTAAGTGTCTTCTTATATATTATTGTTGTTGGAAAAGTTCATATGCCCATCCATCACATTACCTTAACTGATTTACAGTCTTGACGTTGTGTTGTTTTACCACTGTTTCAGGTTTGGCGAAGATTCAGCGTTAACAAAAATGTTAAACCCTGCCATATTCTTTGTGTGCCTGTCCCAAGCAAGGGACATGTAATCCAGTGATTGCCATTGATTGCTGTTTATCATATTTGTTTCTTCGGTCATTTTTGTAGTACAAATCAGTGTGATGATTTTCTCTTTTTAATTGCTCACTATTCGGTATGGGTTTTGCTCATCGAAGGCCAAACTTTGACAGGTAATTGTTCATCTCTTTATGGCTAATTATATCATCGGCAATCATACAGTATCAGACTCCTCATTTCTTTTCTACCTCAAGTTTAGATTACCTTAGCTGTATTTGGCAAAACTTTTAGGAATTTTTGGTCCTAAATGCTCTTCAACTTCGTACTTTATTTGGCCTTTTTAACTTTTTTTTAATTCGAGCGTCACTGATGAGTCTTTTGTAGACGAAACGCGCGTCTGGCGCAAATACAAAATTTCAATCCTGGTATCTATGATGAGTTTATTTCTATATTGTAAAACAAAACCTTACAAATCATGTTTAGAAAATAAGGAAATATGTTTAATTTTTTTCTTGTGTATATAGAAATATGGTTATCCCTATATACTTCTGTCGTCCGTCTGCAAAACGTTAAATAAAGTAGGACGTCCGTCCGTTTGGCTGCGCGGAATAAATAAATATTCAGTCACGTCGGGTCGAAATATGGACTTACTGAATCCGATGCCTCGTGCAGGGAAGGTGCTGTGCTATCTGCACGATAAAGAACCTTTGTAACAGCTGTTTGAGAGGTCGGTAGAATGTTAGTTATCTTGGTGTAATCAGGGGTGTACAGAATTTTACACCGTTGTGGAAAATTCATACACCCTGAGGCGCAGCCGAATGGGTGTATGAATTTTCAACACCGGTGTAAAATTCCGTACACCCCTGATTTCACCAAGATAACGAATTTATTTCTTATGAACAATTCCTTTACTCATTTTTAAACCAGGATGTAAAATTGAAAAATGGTAATGAAAAATTTCCAATGTAAAATTTTTTCAACGTCGATGTTGCTGCCCATAATTTGTCAAATACTTTTTTTCTTTATTTTTGGGAAAATTCAGAAATTTTTGTGTTCTTTTGAACTTTCGGGAAAAAAATTTAAATATTTTTTTTAATTTTTTGTCCTCAAATTTATTTATTTTTTATTTTTATTTATTTATTTTTTTTGTTGACATTTTATTATTTTTTTCTTTATTTTGGCAAAATTTTATTTTTTGAAATTTTTTGGCAAAATTTTATTTATCCCGGGGTGAACAAGGGTGGTGTGTTATTTACACCGGGGTAATTAACCAATCAGATTGTAGTATTTTTGCTGCATAAGAAATAAGGCCTTTTGCAAGGAGAAATGACTGTCCTTATCCAGCATATTCCCATTTACAAGTGTCAGTCCAGGTTTCCAACTCTTCATCCAGTTTGGCCCTTTTTACAGAAGATTCCATATGCACGAGATATTTGCCACTAAACGTAAGCGAGCAGCAATCAATAAATTAATGTTTCTCTATAGTAAACCTACAATGCCGTATAACAGGGATAAGTCGGTTAATTCTTGACTGAAAGTCTTCCTTGAATTGCTGACAAAGATCAATATCTGATAAACATTAATTCGAATGACAAATGCCCAATGCAAGAATTACTTTCAAATAAGAGCATAAAGCAGAATTGTTTTGTTCATTATCCGAAAGTGACATTCGTAATTACACAAATAATTATACAATGATTTGTTGTCTTTACCGAATGAGAAATAAATCAAATGAGTCTGAATGTTAGATTCTCTTGGGCACTGATATAGTGAATTTATCAACTTTTATCAATTTGCTCACGTGCATATTTATGAAATATCAAATCTAATTTTGTCAGAAAATAAAAAACTCTTTTAAGATATGGAATATTTTCATATTGTTTTACACTGTCGCTACATTTTTTCCAAGGCTTCAAGGCTTCGAACTCGCATATTGCAGACTTGAAAACATAGGGAAATAACGTACATTGACATTAAAATTACTTGTCTGATTTTCAGAAACAATTAGTACGCACTAATTATGGCGTACTTGTACATTGTCCATGAGATTTAGAAATACAACTACTTGGACTTCCCCGTCGGCCAGTAAGACCTTACAATAACTATTTCAGGCGTTTGTAAGTATGTGACCTATTGCAACCAAATGTTTCTTTAAATCGATCTGCAAGTTTAGAAGGCGCAAAATCTTGACTGCCACTGGAAAAAGAATATAAGGTGGGTAGGTGGAAACCTGCATAACTTTTTTATTATTTATTTGTTCTGGTATCATCAGATTTCCTTGTGTCACAGTGAAATCTATTGTTTCGATTATGATCAATTCAGAAGCATAAGATTTTAACAACAGATTTTTACTGGACATTAACTTTTTGATAACTTCATTTTGAAAGTGATATGCTATGTCGATGTTTCCTTTTCAAGTACTAGTACATTGTAAATCTACTTTTCAAATTCACTTCCACAACATAAAATATCATTCTTCTTCACATTTATAAAACATCTTACATCACTTTATAGCATTGACCATTCAGAACTTTTAACATATTTTGAATCCTCTTTAAATCATCAATGACAACGTTCGATTAAAAGATCGTCTGTCATGATGTGTTCTTGATGCAAGCACTGACAGTTTTTCTCAAAGTTAGAATAGATTTTGGAATACAATGTAAGCTTTAAATAAAATATGACAATTTGAATATATGATGCTTTATACACGAATTAAAGGAATGTGAAAAGTAAGTTATTGTACTTTAATTTATAAATAAAGTAAGACAATTTATTCTTCCAATGGAAAGGTTCAATGAACTGTCATTTTTCGTCATAATTCGAAAAAATTTAATAAAATAATATGTTTCTTCTTAACCCTATATATGATTTTAACTTTAACTTTCACTTAAACGAGGACCACATGAAACATTGAAATGCAAACATTTTGAAAGAAACATAAAAGAGAAACATGACTCAACTTTTTGATAACCGCCTTTCTTTCAAGATGACTGACCGTGTAATATTGTTAATTTAATATGGAAGGAAATGATTAAAACAGACCAACACTTTGATGTTAGCTGTAAATTAGTCTGTTTAAAAGACACAAAGTAAACTTTGGTTAACAGGATTCATGTTGCTTGATTATTATATTTTTAGACTTTTGTTTTTCTTCGTCTGTTTTGTTTAGCCATGGCTTTCTTTTGTCCTTTATAACACGTTCATGTGGGTTATTGGACATTCTAAGTTTCCTTTTCTTATTTGTTTCAGGCGACTAACAGTTTCAAAACAAGGACGCAGGCGGGTAAAAACAACACTGATCATCAAGTTACCTGAAACGAACACCTTGCTTGATACTTTTATTGACAACATATGTGTTGTTATCAGTGAGGCAAAAGAGACAAAAGACAAAAAAGCGGCAATATAAAATCATAAGTCGAAGAACCGACACAACAATGACAAAATAAGTGGAGAATCATGGACACAGATGATGTCCCCTCTTGCATATAACGTTATAAAGGGCATAACTCTAGAACCGTAAAAGTCACCCAAATTCGAACTTGATCTGTGTTATGTGGTAATAAGCATTGTGTATAAGTTTCATAACATTTGGTTGAGGCAAACTAAAGTTAGTGAATGGAAACCAATTTTGGGACGTACGTACGTACGGACAAGGGTAACACTTAATGCCCCCTCCGGTGACATATAACAATCCACAAAACACTGCATAGAAAATAAACTGAGCAACATGAACGCCGCCAAAAACCAGTGATGGTATCAGGTGCTCTGGAAGCGTAAGCAGATCCGGTCCACAAGTGGCATCCGTGTTTTTCAACAGTTACCGAAGTCGTCATTCATAACGAAACCAATTGTGCTCCTCTGCCCTCAGACTAGTTCTGTTATTCAAGGAGGCTGACTTTGCATAAGGGTTTGTGAGTAAAAGTAAAATAATTCAATAAAAAAGCCTTATCATATGCTGAATTAAAAATAAAATGTTACTATTTGGATGTTGACACCTTTGACCTATTACCTATAAAATCGAGGCCATTATACGACTTCATAACGTATAAAAATGTCTTTATGGTCGTACTTATCTAGCGGCAAAAAAAATGTAAAACAGATCTTACCATGTATTTAACATAGAAGCCTACTAAATTACAGCAGAGATTTACAACTGAGTACTAAAACAATTTTGGGTCTGAAGCTGGCCATGGTTCAAGAGAGTCCGAGACAACAAAATCAATTTGAAACTTTAAATTCTTTTATTGCATTTTTACTTTAAAAAACGATATAAAAATGTAAAATTAAGTATACAGTTAATATAAGAATAGAAAAAAATCATTCATATAGATGAACATTAAAATCTTTGGACACCTACTGTGTATAAAAAAAATCATGACGAATTAAAATCAATTAAATCTCAACAATGTATACATTATTAACAAGATAATTTTGTACTGAAGCAACCAAACTATACTATATTGATGAAGACATAATAAAAAAAAAACCAACTGTGTCAAGAGCACTGGTTACTTCCGTCAACAAATCAGCTAGACTGGACATTGCTTGTAGACTAAGATGTGATTAGATGAAAGCAAATTTTGCAATCATACCAATGATCTCCATATTTTTATATTGAGTTATCACCAGACATGAAACATTGTCTATGTTTACAATTTAAGTCAAGTATGTCTGGAACAACTCAACTGAAAATCGTTAGATACTTTTCATGGAACTTAACATTGTGTAACAGTTTGAAAAGAATTAAGTAAATAATACCGGCGAAATCACAAGACATGGTCGGACGAATAGATGTTTGAATGCACAGACCGACAATGGTATACCAAAATACACCTATGACAGACATACAAATACTCATCAAATATACCAGGTACGTCAGACGTGCATTTTGTCTACACAATACTTACACAAAACTGGAATATTTTAAGCATAGAAATTCAAGTCGAATAAAATCGTATATACCGGTATATGATTTAGGAATTAACTCCAGAGAAAGCAACTATGTTTACTCTATGATAAAAAGACATTTTTATATGATTAATTGATGATGTTGCTTAATGTCCCGTGGCAAATATTTCATGCTCGTCATTTTCACTTCATGTGATATGCAGAGCCCGATTGTAATACAAATGTTAACATATATTATATAAAGTAAAATCCTTTATCATGACAACAGTGAACAGCAGGAATAATTGGGAAGCAGTAGATTTAAGCATGTTTGCCAATACGAAGTATTCATAATCCACATATCCGTGACAGTTCAATCAGCATCTGTATAATCAGCTGCCCAAGTAAAATTGTTTATTTTTGCAGAACTTCTCCTTCTAAGTGATGATGTAGGTGATATATTCTGGCTCAATGAAACTCCTGTAGCCCAGGGAAGTGCCTGATCTATTCCTGCTTGTATCAAACTATCATATGCTTCATCTCTGTATACAATGGCACCAAATGTAAACACCTACAAAAAAATAAACCTATAATTGCATCTTGCCACATAACTATTGAGGTCCATCAAACAAGGGTATGCTAAGACAACTTTTTTCAAGTACTAAATGTATAATAAACAGACCCAAGATTCTTTTTTTTTTTTGCCCTGTTGCCTTTAAGCTCTAAACACATTTATATTTTTGGTTTTCAAAAATCTTGGTGTTCAGTATACTTGATAACGTTTGTTAAAATAAGTTTCTATTCATATCACCAATAGAAGTTCACAGCTTGCAGTAGGTGTCTGACAGAACCGAAAAAAAGCTGACACGTTACAAGTCATCACTGTCGAGTTGCAGACCAGATATCTACAATCTGCAACTAAGGGATTTAATGGAGGGATTATCCACAATTTCTCCCAGTTCCCTCCCAAAATTATGGGAGAGTTTCTGGAGTTTTTTTGGTGTGATACCATTTTTAATACGACCGCAAAAAAATTTTTGTGGTCGTATATTGGTATGACGTTGGCGTCGTCGTCGTCGTCGTCGTCGTCCGGCGTCGTCCGAAGACACATTAGTTTTCGCACTCTAACTTTAGTTAAAGTGAACGGATCTCAATGAAATTTTACCATAAGGTTCAATACCACAAAAGGAGGGGATTGATTTTGGGGGTTATGGTACCAACAGTTAAGGAATTAGGGGCCAAAAATAAGCATTTTTGTAACTTCCAGACATAACTTGTGTGTAAGTGTATGGATCTCTCTGATATTGTACCACAAGGTTCCATATTACAAAGGGAATGCTGGGATTGATTTTGGGGGTAATTGCCTCCAAATTTTAGGAATTAGGGGCCAAAAAGGGGCAAAAAACAAGCATTTTTCTAGTTTCATAACAATAACTTTTGTGTAAGTGTATGGATCTCTCTGACATTGTATCACAAGGTTCCATATCACAAAGGGAATGCTGGGATTGATTTTGGGGGTAATTGGCTCCAAATTTTAGGAATTAGGGGCCAAAAAGGGGCAAAAAACAAGCATTTTCTAGTTTCATGACAATAATTTGTGTGTAAGTGTATCGATCTTTATGAAATTGTACTACAAGGTTCCATATCACAAAGGGAAAGCTGGAATTGATTTTGGGGGTAATTCCCTCAAAATTTTAGTAATTAGGGGCCATAAAAGGGCAAAAAAACAAGCATTTTTCTAGTTTCAGGACAATAACGTGTGTGTAAGTGTATCGATCTTTATGAAATTGTACTGCAAGGTTCCATATCACAAAGGGAAAGCTGGGTTTGAGTTTGGGGGTAATTGCCCTAAACGTTTAGGAATTTCGGGCCAAAAAGGGGCCAAAAAACAAGCATTTTTCTAGTTTCCAGACAATAACTTGTGTTCAAGTGTATGGATCTCTCTGAAATTGTACTGCAAGGTACCATACCACAAAGGGAAAGCTGGGATTGAGTTTGGGGGTGATGAATCATAAGTGGGTTCAAAAAATTTGGGGGGGGATTATTTTTTCCTTTTTTTTTTCTTTAAAATTTTCCATTTTAAATTGGTTATTTCTGATTTATATATAAAAGCAAATAATAATGATATGGTTTGAATAGGTAAATTAAAATTTTTTAAGTTCTTAGACCACTTTCATTCTGTGTCAGAAACCTATGCTGTGTCAAATATTTAATTATAATCCAAATTCAGTGCTGTATCAAGCTTGAATGGTGTGTCCATACTTGCCCCAACTGTTCAGGGTTCGACCTCTGCGGTCGTATCAAGCTGTGCCCCAGCGGAGCATTTTATTACAATGTGTTTGGGGTATGAGATCTATTATCATATTTCCGCACTAATTACGTTATATTTGGTGAACAGAAAAATAAAATATATTACATTGATTTTTTGAAATTTTTTGTGGATTATTATCCTATGTATATTTCTTGGTAAAACAATGTTCATGTTATGCAGTGTTTATAATATTTGTTAAAGAACAGATATAAAAAGCCGTCAATTGATGTACAAAGGACTGCTGATGTTGGTAGTAGGTTCCAATATATAAAATGAAACGTTATGAATCTTTATTGGTTTGAATTTGTTTACAGCGGTTAGTATGTTTGAGGCTTGTTCTGCTGTCTGATGTAATAAGAATGGCAGATTGCTGTATAATTTTATAGAATATAGATATGAAGTCATTCTCTACAGGAGTACTTGGGAAATGTGTGAGGAAAATGTTAAGTTCATTCAACATTCGCCGAATGTGTTGCAGCATTTACTTGATAAGTTACTATTGTATTGTAATAAATGGAACATAGCGGTAAACACGGAGAAGACAAAAGATGTTGTTTTTCGAAATGGATGGAGGCCTGTGGTAAACCATTTTTATTTCAACGATAGTGAATTGGAAATTGAGAACTCCTATGTATACCTCGGTGTGTTGCTCCACTATAATGGAAAATGTTTGCAAACTCAAAAATATTTATCTCAACAAGGATCAAGAGCGTTGTCTTCACTTATAAATTCACTGAAACAAATGTATGTGACTACTGAACAACATATATTTCTATTTGATAGTATGGTTTGATCCGTTTTAAGTTATGCGGCTGAAGTATAGGGTTTTCATCGTGCTGGTGATATAGAGCTAATATTTAATCGATTTTGTAGATTTGTTTTAAAACTTGGCAAGAAAGTCCCTACAATTCTTTTATACGGTGAACTTGGACATTTGCCATTGCATATTTTGATAAAATCTAAAATCCTGAAAAATTGGATTCATATTGTAACTAATAAACCTCATATTGTATATGAAGTTTATAAACTTTTGTACGAAAATGCAAATAATGGTAAAATTAATTGGGCGTCGAACTTCAAAAATTTGTTATGTAACCTTAGATTTAACGATGTATGGATTTCACCAGATTCTGGTAAATTATCATTTGATTATGTTAAAACACGTATTAAAGATCTTTTTTTACAAAGCTGGACTACAGTTTTAGAAGAATGTAACAAACTATGTATTTATAGACGATATAAACCAGTATTTGGTATTGAAAAATACTTAGATTTTCATTTTAATGTATCTATGTTAACTAAATTGCGTAGCGGCACACTTAAATTAAATGTTGAAGTTGGTCGTTATCAAAATACACAAAGAGAAAATAGAATTTGTATATGTTGCAATATGAATGTTTTAGAGGACGAATATCATTTTGTTTTATCATGTCCAGCATATAGATCTGTGCGAATAGAATTTGTACCTAATTTTTACTATGCATGGCCAAATCGGCACAAGTTATATATTTTATTACAAACTCGTTGTAAATCTCTGACAGTAAAACTATGCAATTGTTTAAAAGCAGCTTGGAAAATAAGATCACATATATTATAGAATTATTGTATACTCTGTTACTACTGTTCTCTGCTGTCTTTTGTTTGTCATGTATTGTATATATTTTCGTTTGCCATAGCATGTACATGCTTCTTGCAAATATAGTATTCATTCATTCATTCATTCATTCAACATAGTAATGTAATGTGCTATTAATGATTTATCTTATTATAATGTGTTGTTTACATATGAAATTATATATCTTTTTTCTTTCTTCTTCTAATAACACTGACACTGACAGGCCGTATCTAAAATACGTGCTTTTGAAATTGCCTATGACTTTTGTGTGAGGTGACATTTGGGATATTTAAACATAATCAAACTGAGACTTATATTTTGGTATGCAAGCTGCGTTTTTCTTCAACACACGACTAACTGGAAACAAAACAGTAACAAACCTAACGAAGTTGAAGAGCACTGAAAACCCCTGAAACTCTCAAAGTGCCAAATCTGGCTATCGACATCTACAAAACCTTAGTCTTTAATATAGTTTTAGCGTTTTATGAATAGTTTATTAAAAAGCAATTGATCGATATGTCCACCAGCAGTGGCATCAACCCAGTGGTCGTAAATACTCATCAAAGATACTTGGCTTGTATTTTAGTATTCTAAAAGCACTGTTCGTCAACTTAAGACTCGTCAGTGGTGCTCGTAAAGAAAATAATTTGAAGGCCAAATAAAATTAGAAATTGAAGACCCCTGAAAACCTATTGGTAGAAATCAGCAACGGAGCGCGGACTACTTAGTTAATAGGTAAATGTGTCCGAAGAAACGCCCACCAGCAGTAGCATCGACACAGTGGTTGTGATAAATCATCGAACTTTAAAAGACTCATAATATAGTAAGTATGCTAAACGCAATACCCCCATCACACTAGGACCACGATCCAACTACAGACTTATAATATAGTAAGTATGCTACACGTAATACCCCCTCACACTAGAACCATAATCCCACCACGACCTAATGAAACATTTTGGAAGTCGTAGTAAGATCGTGGTGGTCGTGGAAGGACATGTATAAATGTCTTCATGATCGTGGAGGTCCACGACCAACTTTGAACATGCTCAAAACATTCGTAGTGCAGTCGTGGCCAACACTAGTCGAAGTAGAAGCGTAGGAAGGTCGGGATGGTGTAGAAGCATCGTATTGGAAATCGTGGTGCAATCGGGTAGCCAATGGAAAAGATTTCGCTGCGACCTTACTACGATTTCACTGCGACTATCCCGATTTCACTACGTCTTTATTACGCTTCTAATACGATATTGATAAGACTATACTACGACGAGGAAAACAATAGTACGCTGCTACTACGCGCTTGCCGTCCTTATGATACTACTACGTCCTAGACACGATAATTGCACAACCTCATTCTGTTATAAAAAAAATTGCTTCGCCCAGCGCAGCTGGAAACGACCGCAGAGGTCCAACCCTGAACAGTTGGGGCAAAAATGGACACAATATTCGCGCTTGATACAGGTCTGAATTTGGATTGTAATTGAATATTTGACACATAATAGGTTTCTGACACAGAATAACTGAAGTCAAAGAACTTAGAATTGGTTATATGATTTGAATTGATATTCAATTTTTTTGCTTTTGTGCAATACACTAAGCTGTTGCGCATTGACCTCCCCCCCAAAAAATGTTTGTTTACCCCCCC